AAACTTTTTTTTTTTTTTTGAGACAGAGCCTCAAGCTGTTGCCCTGGGTAGAGTGCCGTGGCATCACAGTTCATAACAACCTCCAACTCCTGTGCCCAAGCAACTCTCCTGCCTCTGCCTCCCAAGTAGCTGGGACCACAGGTGCCCACCACAATGCCTGCCCATTTTTTCCTTGTTGTTGCAGCTGTCATTGTTGTTTGGCAGGCCCGGGCTGGATTCCAACCTGCCAGCTCAGGTATATGTGGCTGGCACCTTAGCTGCTTGAGCCACAGGCACCGAGCCTCAGGGAACCTTTTTAAGCCCTGACTCTTCCCTGTTTTTCTTTTGATGGATTTCTCACTCAACAATCTTTTCCCTGTAATCTCTTCTTTTAAAGGGAGATAAACAAGGTCCTTTCATCCCTGGAGGCAGATTTCTGCCTTTAAATACAGCTTAGAAAGGTATGGTTAAGCGTTCAATGAATATTCAGTAAATACAATTATTCTTCTGTGTGATAGGATTAATATTACTGCATAAAACGGTGCAATAAAACTAGAAAGGCTATTAGAGGTCATCTAGTTTAATCTTGTTATTTTACAAAGGGACAAACTGAGGCCTAGAGAGGGTAGAAGACTCATGTGGGACCACACTTTCAGTCAGCTCTATTCTTTTTCTATGTCAAATTGCCATCTCTCTGTGGTGCTGTTTTCCCACGTCTAACTTGAATGCTTTTGCACTTGTTTTCCTGAACTCTTGGTTCTTCCTGTCATTGCGTTTTCAATCCCCCAGCTGTCCATGTCAAGTGCTTGTCTAGGGAGGAAATCAGGGAGCTATCCCACCCACTGTCTCGGCGTTTGGTGTTTTCCTTTGTCACTCATATTGCATATCATATCTTTTAGAAAAAATTATAATTGTAATATATGTAATATGATATATATTATCTATATTATAATATAATATATAAGTATAATTATATGTAAATACACATAATACACATATGCATACATATGTACACACATGCATATATATACATATACTTTTTTCTGATTATACAATTTACATCTGTTCATTCTGGAAAATTTAGAAAATACAGATAAATAGACAAAATATAAATCACCCATAATTTTTTCAGCCATAGATAGTAATTGTTATTTTTCATTCTTTTACTATTTTAATTTTTATACTTATTTTTTAATTAATGAATTTTTAATTATTTATTTATTTATTTATTTTTTTTTTTTTTTTTTTTTTTGAGACAGAGCCTCAAGCTGTCCCCCTGGGTAGAGTGCCGTGCCATCACAGCTCACAACCACCTCTAACTCTTGGGCTCAAGCAAGTCTTCTGCCTCCACCTCCCAAGTAGCTGGGACCACAGATGCCTGCCACAATGCCTGGCTATTTTTGGTTGCAGCTGTTGTTGTTTGGCGGGCCCTGGCTGGATTCAAACCTGCCACCTTAGATGTAT